TCCCAGACAGTAACCCAGCATAGAACTGGGAAAATGAACAGCAGACCCCAATCTTATCTAAAGGAATATTGACAAGCGATTGCTGCTAGATGAGGAACAGCTGACCTTCCTAAAACAAAAACCTCTATATAGGCTGACTAGATTCACCAGATGGACAAGTAGTGGGGAATGGCTGGGGGGGCCGACAACACAGCAAACAGTAGCAGGGTTATCAGAGTGTAAGGGCTCCAGTGGTGGGAGGGAGGCTATGGGAGGGTGCCATCTGGCAAGTGGGTGTATAGTTGAATCAGATGGTTTGGATGTTCTGTGTGATATACACAAAAAAATCAAAAATTTAAAAATGTATTATATTTGAGGAGGAAGCATGAAAATTTGTCATGTTCATTAGTAGAGGTGATACACATTACCACTGAAATCTACCTGATGACTTTATAGACATACACAGGTGCCAAGGATCCGAGTGCAACCGATTATGACTAGTAATAGTCAGATACATACAGATTAGAGACACATGCCAACATCTCAATGTTATTAGCAAAAACAATGAGTCTTTCTGTAAGAGACTATGTATTTTAAAATGAAATGGAGATCTTTTTTAAAGGTTAAAAAGTCATTCAATTTTATGTCTTACAGGGCTTATACTGAGTTCAATATTGTATAACTATATTAATTCAACAGTGAACCTAAAAATTTTATAGCCACTTTTGAAAGAGATGTAGTTTTGCTCTGGAAACTGTTATTGAGTATGTTAAAGCTGTGATGAAACGTTTCTTCTCAAAAAAATTATTTTCACTCTCAAATCCTCTAATATGGCCCTAATAAATCCCTAGTAAATAGAATACTTTTTAGGTATTTTTATTTATTTTTTTAACCTCTATTCTGCATGCACTCCTATCTAAGCTGACTTAGATATTTTGAAGAATTTTGAGAGGAGTTTGGCATCCTTTACAAATCCACAAATTACCAAATACAAATATTCCTGTATCAACTTCCCCATAAATTTCTCTACAACAAAATGTGACAAAATTAAAAAGAGCTTGTAGGGCAGACATAGGGTGGAATGAATTCTGCAGTTGTCATGAGACAGCCACAGAACTATTGGGCCCTGTCGTAGGACCAGAGAAGGATCAAGCCAGATAGATGCTTCATGGGGAGAGGAGGAGAGGATAGATAGAAGGCAGGTCCTGAACGATTGGAAAGAGAGCTCGTCTCTGTCTTTTTCTTCTTCCACTAGGAAGCCACAGTGAAGATGGGAGTGGCTGGGCCCTGGTCCATCAGAGAGCAGGGAGGAGGGTGAACCACAGCACATAGAAGACACAGCACTGAACGAAGTTGGTGCCACTATAGTTTACAACCAGTATTTAATTATTTTGTTTTTAAATTGTGTTTTCTAGAAATTTAGCTTAATGACCTGAAAATCAGTCTATCTATCTATCTATCTATCTATCTATCTATCTATCTATCTATCATCTATCTGTCATCTCTGTCCATCAATCTCTATCCATCTATGTATTAATATATGTATTTATCTATCTACTTACCTACCTACTTCAATGAACTGAATTGTAAATTGTGTATTGTGACTTGAACCCAGAACTTCACATATGCTAGACAAGCACAGTGTCACTGAACTACATCTCCAGCCCCAAATTGTATGTTTTAAGAAGATAAAATGGAAATGTGCTATTTTCAGTATTTTAACTGTCAGGATGATTGGCAGCTTGGACCTGGCAGACTTTGAACTGGTAGAGCTAACGATACCGAGGTGCTACTTTCCCTTTGCGTTGGAAGAAAATCCTAAATTATTATAGAACTCATAAAATTAAGCCCACTTGAACCATTATTTTTTAAATTTTTCAAGAGGGTCTCTTTATAAGTAGCTAAAAAATGCTTCCCAGTAAAGTAGCCAAAAGCAAGCACGGTATGTTTTTGTAGTTCATTGTGTAGTATCGAGTTGTTCCATTCTTTGGCAAATCTTTCAGCCAGTCCAATTCTAGTTTCCCTTATCTTTCTTTATTCCTTTTAAAAATAACTCATGCTGAGGCTGGAGAGATGGCTCAGTGGTTAAGAGCACTGACTGCTCTTGCAGAGGACCCGGGTTCGTTCTCCAGCACCTACACGGCAGCTACGAACCGTCCTTAACTCCAGTTCCAAGGGAATCCAAAGCCCTCTTCTGACCTCTGCGGCATTGCACGATACGGGTGCACTCACATACATGCAGGCAATACATTCATACACATAAAGTAATAAAAATAATAAATAAAATATTTTTAAAACCTCGTTTCCTCATCACCACATAGTAACTTAGAAACACACGGAAAGAACCCCAGATTTAGTAAGTAAAAGCATTAGTGTTCTGCTGCTAACACCCTTATGCTTACATTTTCATGCATATTTTAAACACCACTTTATTTTTTCCAGATTTTGGGAGGAAGCTTTGTCCCTTCTTTTCAGTCCAAGAATAGTTAGGGAGCTGCCTTGACATATTGCTTCTATATTATTTATTCCCAATTTATAAAAATCCTTGACTTCTGTTCTCATTTTCATCTATTGATATCTCTAACAAACTGTCCATAAATCTAAAGCAAATTCTAGTTTAAGAGTAGAGTTTAAAGACGGTGATCATGAAGATTATGTCTGGATTAACCACAGTACACTGTTTCATAACCTATAATGCAGTCACATTAATGTGGCAGTGTACAAATAAAAATACTAGAAACATGATTATACTAAAATACATAGCATATCAGTAGCCAGGATAAACAGAGGAAATGAAAAGTTAACTGATTTTGTTAATAATTAAAATATAATTGACATAATTTTTTCAACATTATTTAAATTTGGTTAACTAATGCCATTTATGAAGGAAAAATATCAAGAAACCTATTTGGTTTATAAGTTACGCATTAATTGTATAAAATCCAAGTGAAAAATGGATTACTTACCTTAGAGATTTGGAAAACACACTGGTGAGTTACCTACAAGTGGGATGAGCTCAGATGGAGATGAAAAGTTCCAAACTTGCGCATTACTTACAGGGTGAGGATGAAGTCTCACTTCACCAACTCTGTCCTGAAGAAAAGGCTGTCACGTGTTGGGCCTTGACTCATGTTTCATCCCCTCCCATTAGGAACAGGCATATCTAATTTTAATCCTGTGACATAAACAGCTCAGGCTGCTCTTAAAATTGTTTGAGAATCAGTTCCAGCCTGCAAGCTTGGTGTGTGCCAAACACAAAACAAAGCTAAACAGAATCCCAAACCATTCTTTCAAAGCCAAATACTAACATGTAAGCTCTGAATCACTTTCTAAAATAAACTTTACCTTAAATGAATAAGAAGAAACTTCAAATTAGTTTCTGTTGGAATCTAACATTAATAAAACCTCATCACCATCACTTAGAATTAACATGTAACACTTAGAACTTATGACTTTATTGGTGTTAACTGTTTTATTACGCAGACTCCAAGAGACTGCAGGTTATTCAGTAACAGTGTCTTTAAAAATCACTTGCCTTGGGGCTGGAGAGATGGTTCTTACTGGAGAGTAAGAGCACTGGCTGCTCTTGAAGAGGACGGGGGTTCGGTTCTCAGCACTCACATGGTGGCTGACAACCATCTGTAACTCCAATTCTAGGGGAGTTAAGGCCCTCTTCTGGCCTCTGGGGGCAGTGAATGTATGTGGGACCCTCACATACATGCAGGTAAAACACTCATACACATAAAAATATAAATTATTTTTAAAAAATTTAAAATCACCTGCTTTAGCCTCATTTTAACTGAAAATTTTAGCATTTAAGGAAAAAAGCTTACATTAATGGCCACCATAAGAAACAGATGGCGGATAAGTGTCACATGTTAAAAATGATGACTTTTTTTCTTCTAGGAAGATAATACATTAGTTTAAAAAATTATTTAGGGGCTAGAGAGATGGCTCAGAGGTTAAGAGCAGTGGCTGCTCTTACAGAGGATCCAGGTTCGGTTCACAGCACCCAAATGGTGGCTAACAACCATCTCTAACAATAGTTCCAGTGGATCTGACACCCTCTTCTGATTTCCATGGGAATTGCATGACATGGGCACCCTTACATACATGCAGGCAATACACTCATATGTATAAAATAAAATAAATTATATGACTGTAACAACCTGATATTAAATTATCTTTATTTAAAAATAGTTACCATTTAATTTTGTCAGGTATAAATATATCAAGCTTTTGAACAATCTTCATTTAACATGAATTTAAACTGACTAAATTGTATATTTTGAAATCTATGTTTTAGCATTAAAACTTGAATAGAAAAAGCAATGCAACAATAATTTGCAAGGCTTATTTTATTTTCTTCTTGGGAGTCTTCTCCTTTCTATTTATTCATATTGTAACGTTTTTTTGAAACTTGATGCTTTTCTTACACTAACAGCTGCAGCCTTAAATTAAACACAGGCAGTTTCAACTACTCCTATATTTGCAGGACATTTAAAACTCTTGCATAAATTCTCTACATAGAATTTTGTCCACTATGGCAATTCGTTTAGACCAAAATCACGGTACAACAATCAGCTCTTAATAAAAATATTTAACACATTGCCAATGATATGAAATAGACATTTCAGACATATGATGATAGAAAAAAAATACAAGCTGGAAATCCCTAACTCAATATTCTGATTGAAATGTCACAGATTTAGAGTTTACAATCAGTCAGTTCAGTTTGTAGCAACTAAGTTTTCATTGTTTGGCGGACTGTTTCATGTACTGGTCACTCTTCTTGTGTGCTCGTCTCTCCTACTCACACATGAACACACATTAACAACAGGACTCTAGGAGACAGAACTTAAACAGGCTTTGATTTTATAGGTTAGTTGAAATTATTTAAACACAATCTTCAATGTTTTTTTAATGTAGGTCTAGCTTAAATTTGAATTCAAGTAAATACATATGTTTTCAGTAGAACCTTAATATTTTAAAGACAGATGAGACCTTAAAGTAAATATATCCTAATAGCAAATAACGTGTTCAAGGTTTCAAGGCTAATAAAGCCTCCATAGAAACATCTATAAAGTCTGCTGGATTTCCATACCTATTTGGTACTTGGTGGTCCCTGACCAATGTCATCCACACACGGCCACCACACCTCTGGGATCTAGCCTGGTAGTCACCCTAAGTCTCCATGTTCTTGTTCATCCTACACTAATCACTAGGAGACTCCAGCCTCTGTCCTGCCCCTCTGTTTCACATTTCTAAGTATGATAACTCTGTTGTGGAAGAGGTTGAATTGGGAAGATCAATTTTAAAATTAGTGAAAATCAGAATTTTGGGTAATGATGATATAGGGAGCACTTAGATCAAAACACTCATCACATCTTAAAGAAATTAGGAAATAAACTGTACTATCTGCACACTTCCATAGACAACCCCCCACCAGATTTCATGCATTCTGTCATATATGTTAAGGCCTATTCAGTCAAGTTTGTGTCCCCAACTATCCTTCAGTGTGAGTTCATCCACTGGAACCTGGCCAGTCTATCTAGCATCACTCCCTTAAAAAAAATGAATTCTCCCTCTCCCAGGGGTCATTGGTTGCCAATAGTTCCTCAGCTAAGCTTGGGACTTCTTACCCATTTCCCCGCTTCCATTCTGGGTTTTTGTCTGGTTCGAGTTTGTATGGATCTTGTTCATGCTGTCACCATTGCTGTAAGTTCATATGAGTAATTTCCCAACTGCCTGGAAAACTCTGTTTCATGTGGTCATCCAACACCTCTGGCTCTTACAGTCTTTCCACCCCATCTTCTGTAATGGTCCCTAAGTCCTATTCAGGGACACATACTCTGCAGTCTCTTATTCTAAAGGAGTTTCAGAGAGGCCTGAGAGGCGGAAGAGAGGAGCTGACAGGGATGTAAAAGAAATCTGTGTGTGTGTGTGTGTGTGTGTGTGTGCATGTGTGTGTGTCTGTGTCTGTGTCTGTATGTGTAGGTCAGATACTAGCCCTGCTGGAAGTCAGTTGGAGAGCCAGGCAACTGCATCAGAGTTGAGCAGAGACTCGGAGTTGATTTCAGTGAGCAGAAGCAAAGTGTGGGGTGGTGGAGGCTGGAGAGGTGAAGGGTCCAGCTCCAGATGAGCAGAGGGACTGATAGACAAATGACAATTCAAGTAGGCTGTGTCAAGAACAACAGGGACAGCCAAGCTGAAGGTCCTGAGACACTGGAGTTTTCCACTTGTTGGTCCCTTTACACATCATGACAGGTCATTAGGGCTGTGGCCATTAGTGTTAGGTGTCCTCTTATGATGTGGAGGTGAAATTGCACCCCTTCCTCAGTCTGGTGTATCTAAGTTCTTGGGCCTGATTTTCCTGATATGATTTTAATATGTCCATGTAATCATACAATCTCAATTTACTTTGATAAGTTTATAGGGTAATATCTTTTTACTTTCAAATGTATCACTTTATTTATAGTTTGGCCAAATGTGGTTGAGAGCAGGCTATGCTCTGCACTACATTACTCAATACCATGTAAAACAGTGTTTTGTTTTCTTTTTCTTTTTTTACCATGCCTTGCCCTGAGAGACTCTTGCCTGTGAACAGCTTTTGAGTCCATTCTGAGGTTGGAGGATGCCTGGATGTGCATGTGAATGACACCACCTGTCCAGGTATCACCTACAGCACACTGACAAATGCCTTATACCTGGAAGCAGAAAGGGTGCCACCCCACAAGTTTATCAAGGTGATTGAGACTGTAGGAGCAAACAGGCATATGCAAAGAGTCCCTCATTTTGAAAGAGAAAAGAATTGTGTTTGTGGCATCTAGGATTCTCCCTACTCTGGGCCTGACAGAGTTCTTTGTCCATAAATTCATGATATGTAAAGAGTTGTAGGCCTTTTTCTTTTCTCCTTGGAGGTAGACTTCAAGATCAGGGCTCCTAAATTATTGTTAAACCCACTCATTTTGCAAGTGAGAGTCTGTTAGCCCAGGGAGCACAATTGTGGCCAATACTCTTTAGCAAGAGCAGCTTCCAAGTGCCTGATTCAGTGATGTGGTTGGTTTGGAGCCGGTCTATTTTTGTCATGAGTAGGAGGTAAAGTCATCTGTGGAAGGAGGGTAGAAGGTAGGAGATGAGACATCCACAGGTTTGAAAAGTAGAGAGGAGTTAAGAGTAGTGGTTATGAAAAACTGGACTGAGAACTCACTATGAGATGTACCAGGGAAGCCAAATTGGACAGTGGTGCTGCTCCACTGAGGACAGGTCTATCAAGTCTAATTTGTATCCCTAAATGCCCTTCAATGTGGCCTTAAAAATCAATAATTAGGGGTTGGAGAGTTGGGTCAGTGGTTAAGAACACTGACTGTTCTTGCAGAAGACCTGCGTTCGAATCCCAGCACCCACATGGCAGCTAACAACTATCCATAACTCCAGTACTATGGAATTCATGCTTACTCTGTCCTCCACAGGCATTGCACGACATGAGTGCACTTATACACATGCAGGCAACACACACATAAAATAAAAATAAATAAAACCAGGCGTGAAAAAACCCAATAATTATAGAGGACATGAAATTGGGGGGGAGTAGAGTTAAGGGGAGGGAACTGAATATGATCAAAATACATAGTATGAAATGCTCAAAAATTCAATAAAATCCAGCTGAAAGCTGAGTGTAGTGGCACACACTTTTAATCAGCACTCAGGAGGCAGAGGCAGGCAGATCTGCATGAGTTCAAGGACAACCTGGTCTATATATCAAATTCCAGGTCAGCTAGAGCTACATACTGAGACCCTGTCTCAAAAACAAAAACGAAAACAAAAACAAAATAAGATAATGAAATAAAAACAAAAAACAAAAAAATAGAGCTGACATTAGAGGAATTATCCAAAAAAGGTCAGTAAACAGAAATAAAAGTATTGTTTTCAGGGCAAATGGAATATGAAACAAACTGAATTATTTTATAAGGAATACATTTTTAAAAGTTTTAAAAAATGATGTATCCCCCATGTTACCCCTGAGGAACAGATCCTCAAACAGCCTTAAGAGTAAAAATAAATTGGTTTATCTGGGCCAATTGTAGGGTCTTAAACACCCAAA